GACTGGCACGCCGGTCGGTTGTTGATGATTGCTGGAGGGGCTCGCGACGACGACGACTGGATTCTGCGGGACGCAGGGTGCGGACGAGAGGGTCGCGATGACGTTAGAACCGCCACTGCCGCCGCCGCCACCGCCGCCGCCACCCCCGCTGTTGCCGGTACCGGTGACGGTTACGACGGTGTTCGGCGCCGAAGGGACCGGCGAGGGCGTCGCGACGCCTCGCGTCGCCGCCGCCACCGGCGTCTCTTCCGCGGCCGGCGCACCGACGACCACGCGCGCGTCCATCGCGGCCACCAGTGCTACCTGGGGTAGCAGCAACAACAGTAGCAGCAGCAGCAGCAACACCCGCTCACGGCAGTATCCCGACGAGCACGGGCTTCCAGGTCGACCACGCGCACTGCCGACAGCATCCAACGAGACGCATTCGATTGCCGCGCTTGCGTTCGCCCCGAGGAAAGTGGAACGTTACGACGAACGAGACGGATGTTTCACGCGCGGCGACGACGACGACGGCGACGACGGCTCTCGAGGATCCCTCGTGTTTTTTCCACCCCCACGCGATCGCGTTATCGCGCCGCGATACGAATCGCGCGGTTCATGACCTGGCGACAAGGCGGCCCGAGAGAGAGAGAGAAAAAGAGAGAGCGATTTATGCGGTTTGGTCCGAAAGGAAGGAGAGGGAGAAAGAGTGCCGGTTTCTCGTCCGCGATTGCACAGCGAAAGGCGATCGAGTGTAGACGATATCGTCACCCCGTGCGCGCGAGAGCGACACCGACGCGTTTCGAACGATGGCGCGGTGCACATTGCGCGTCGCGCGGCGAATACGCGGCCGTTCCTTTCGCGTTCCCCCACCACCGCGACGCCGCGCGACACCGACGCTTCCCCTCTCGTTCCTCCGTTTCTCTCCCGTGGAAGCGCGCCCGACGGCGCGCGACGGTTCCCGGAATCTTCGTCGAAGTGGTTAAGAGATCGAGGATACTTAACCCATAACTCTCGTTAATTCCTAGTTATCCCTGCCGTCACTACATGTAGAATACAGATTAAAAATATAAAGTTTCTTTACATGACTCCGTTCTTTCTTTCTTTTTTTTTTTTTTTTTTTTTTTTTAAAGAACTGAGAAATCATAATGCAAGAGAAGATTTGATCGCTTCGAAAGCGAATTAATAATCTAATCTATTTTAGATTGCTAAAATTTAATTTTAATTTATTTAATATTAATTAATTAATTATAACTAATTAATTTAATTTAATTCAAATAGTTAAATGTTTTAATATTTAATAAAGACATGTCAAATTATAATTATATAAAAATTATTAAATTATTATAATTATATAAATTATTATTATTATTATTATGTAAAAATTATGTTTATTAATAATTATTTAATATTTTACATACCTTCTTTTGTTACACATTTTCCATTAAACTCGAGTGACATTTAGTTTATATTTAGCTATTTGTGAAATACACATATGTTTAATCAATAATTTTAGGTCGATTTAAATTGCCACAATTGAAAATGCTATTGATCATTTTCTCTCAAACAAGTATTATTTTTAATTAATTCTACAGATTAATGAATTCATTTAAACAGTATGTATAAAATATTAAAATGTCATAATTTATATAAAGTATATAAAAATGTGAGACATATTGATATTCCGTTAATAAATCATTCGGGAATATTTTATAAACACTTTTCATTATTTTTAAAATATTGTGGCGATTTTATCGTCACGACTCGCCCGGTCACATTTTTTCATGCGGCAATATTTGGATTTCGCCAAATAAGCTATTCTCACAGAATCGCACTAAATACACGCGAATACGATATATATTGCATGTATTCATATCCGATATCAGTCCAACAGAAAAGATTCATTTTCTATAATATTCTCTTGTAATCATTTCTTTTCGTATTGTTCGGAACTAGACATTTCATGATCGTTATTTTCAAGTATTTGTAACATCGAATTCCTCGCTGTTGAAAAACATAACTCGAAACATTTAATGATCGAGACAATAGACAAGAGACAAACAATAACAGCAAACAGATTCTCCTCCGAAACTGTATTTATTTTTAAGAATTAAGATATTTGTTATTTAAGAATAATTTCGAAGGAGAAAAGTATAGGAAAGAGAGCTGATACGAAAGAATGAACGATTCGACCGACGGACACTTTAAGAAATCGGACTTTCCGCACATTATTCCTTCCGACTCCGTCTGGCATTTCATTATGCCTAAAATACTGAAATAATACCGAAATTTTCAGTTTGTATGTGCGTACGTGTATATGTGTGTTTGTAAACTTTTTTATAGTAACTTTTTATATATACTTTTTATAAATTACAACCGCTTTAACAAATAAAAAGTATTAATTTTTTGAACTTAAGAAATTAGAAATTAAAATGTAGTAGAAATTAAAATGTGAAAATTTCTTCTTTTAATAACCTTTTGGTAAAAAATGTGTATATGCAAATATATTATTACTAAGATAATACATGGTAACTTCAATAATTTATCATCTTTTTAACGATCACAAAAAAAATACAGATCTAAGAGGGATATACATTTGAAAGAAAAGACCGTAAAACTAGGACCTTGTATGTCATGGACGAAGCGTAGTAAACAAGACTAATTGCGTCAATGATCGAGACATAGATACGGGCAATAGCTTTTGTGATTTTTATGTTAAAGTCTCTGAAGCGTTAATAAAATAACGATAGAAAATATTTAAACGCCGTAAATTAATATAGATTCTCACGTTAATTATAATACCGCGTTTTCAAATTCTTTCAATTACTTCTCAACTAAATTTTATCGACTTTAATTCTTCGACTAAAATGAAAAAATTAGATATATCATAACTCTTTTTGAAAGATTTTAATGTACTTGAACATTAGAAAAACTGAATTCATATTTCTTCATGATTAAAATCGTATTAATGATAATAACTCTTCTTTTAAAAAATTTAAAACTTCTCCTCTCCCCTCAACGATAAGCTGCAAAAACGTAGTAAAGAGACATATATAGTGTTTAAACAAATTTTTATAAAGAAAGGACCGTTTCGCTTTTTGACGATGAATGAACATTCCATTCGTAAAATACATTTCGTTTATCACGAAGATTGTGCGGATAAAGTTAAAAATTAACGCACGACGCATGTGGTCCCGAATCGAGAAGCGAGAGCGATTCTTTCCCGCCCGACGGCGATGGCTATAATCAGCTTCATTGCTCATCGGCTCGTACCCCGTCCGGGGGGGTTAAAATCCAGTTAGGGCACGCCGATCCCGCGACGAGCCATCGGCAGCCACGTGAGAGGCGTGGCCTCGCGGATCGGTCGGAGATCGCATTCCGTGCGGACTCCGGCACGCAGGGGTCCAGAAAAGAGCGACGCGAAAACCGTGATGTCTCCCTCTCTCCCCACCCTTCCCACCCTCCGCTCTCCCCCAACCGCTCCGTCTTACCGGTGTCATCGTGGTGTACATAAGCTCCTCCCTGGCCCTGGCCATGATCGTAAAAACGCGCCCCTGCCTCACACCGTCCCT